GGGCTGTAGGGAAGCTAAAGAGAGGAAGAGGAACCTGGGGGTGGGCAGGCTGCTTCAGGGGACCAGCTGAACTGGTCTTGCTGTGGGATGGCTGAGGGGAACTGGAGGACTGGGTGGAACTCTGAGGGACAGCAACGGGCTGCGGGGAGTATGGCGGAGTCTGCCGACTGTCGGACTATCAAGACAAATCCAGAAAAGGCCGTGAACAATCCGACAACAGTCATACTTTTACTTAGATATAAAAATAAACATTTCACCTGGGGAAAACAGGTTTTCGTTTGGGGGGGGGTTAAAGGGCCAGTTCACCCAAATTTTTTTATTTGCTCACATTTCAAAATACATCTGCAAACAATTTTTACACGGTCTATTAATTACAACAAATATGTTATACACCAAAAACCAAAAGGTTCTGCACACTACTGATCACTTATACTCAGACTGTCAATAATACTGAAGCTCAGAGGTTTAATAAGATCAAAAAGATGAAGTTTCTTCATAGTGACTATGAAATAATAAAATACAATAAAACTTTAATGCAATTTTTTTCTTCTGTGGAACCAGCACATTAATTAGATTAATTATAATAATTAATTATTCATCTCACTTCCATTGCATTAGAAAGGAAAGAGATCTCTCTGTGGGTAGAAATGAGTACATACTGTTGTACATTTTAGTGATTTAAGTGAACCGACCACAGTTGTACTTACACATTCAGAGGGCTGTCTGGTCCTTCTAGGACAGTCTGCAGCTGCCTGAAGAATGGGGATGGACTGGGAGCTCACCACAGTCCGCACCAAGTGAGGAGCTGGGCAAAAGCAAGAAGCAGATTGACTTTTCGCATCTTCTGTGCACTCAAATTCATTATTTTAAATGGTGGAGACGAGCGACAAGTGTGCTCACAAGAGAGTGACGGCGTCACGATGCTTGTGTTGCACTGCACCTGCTTTTCAATGTACGTCTACACCACAGTGAGATTAAAATAATAAAATCTCAACTTTTCAGATTGCAGCAAGCACAATGCAGGTCATGTGACAAGAATCAACCAATCAGTTTCACCCTTTCTGTAACAACATCTGGATCAAAGCTCAGCCAAGATGGAGGATGGAGCTTCTGGATCAGTTGGTGAAATTCAGTTTTTTTTTTTTTTCCCTTCGTGCTTGAAGGATGGGGTGGACCTAAACAAAGTCCCCCCGCCCCGTTCATAAATAGATCTAGTAGTAGAGCTAGTGCTGGAAATCCATTTATATCCTGCAACTTCCTTGTCGTCATGCAGTGTGTAGCTCATGGTTGCTTAGCAACAGCAGACACCAGGGGATACCAAATAATGAATATATACCAGCTTTCCTTATAAGGACTGATAAAGTGTCTACACTGAAGACGATTAAGCCAAAATCGATTATTCACATTTGCATCTGTGTGCTGCAGGAGTAGCATAAATCTTTTTGTGCTAAAGTGGCTCTGTCTGTAATTCTCTTGATGTGCTATTTCTGTGGGGAGCAACTACAGATATCCTTCTTTTTCTTTACTTAAGCTCAGGGACCCCTGTCATCCTTAATCTGGCCCTGGTCAGGACAAGTAACCTTAGTTCACTAAGCCTCTTTAGATTAAGGTTTCAAAATGGTAAATGGTCTTATACTTGTATAGCGCCTTTCTACGTTCTTACAGCACACTCAAAGCGCTTTCACATTATTTGGCCATTCACCCATTCATACTCCCAAGCACTCACACATTCACACACCGGTGACATCACCGGGAGCAACTGGGGATTTAGTGTCTTGCTCAAGGACACTTCGACATGTTGACTGGACAAGCCCGGAATCGAACTGCTAATCCTCCGGTTAGGAAACGACCCACTCTACCTCCTGAGCCACAGCCACTCATGTGCATATCAAAGACCATGACAGAAAGAAGGCAGCTTCCGTGAAAGTCCATGCCTACAACACCGATTATGTGGATACCTTGTGCTCCGGTAGCCCTCTGTTTGAGGTGCCGGTACTCAGGACAGTCCCTTCGTACGTGGCCCATGTCCCCGCACTGAAAACAACGCCTGTCCTTCTGCTCCCTCTCCTCCTCTTTTATATCCTCATCTTTGTCGTTTTCCTTCTTCTTCATCCTAGCAAAGGAAATATTTAGGTCACAACAACAAGGGCTGAATAAATCTAACACATTCACTACAAACACACAAGAAAAATTCATCATCGAGGCTTCTGTTTCCTTTCGATTAAAAAAAAACATTCAATACATAAAGGAACTTACAAAAAATATTTTAACTAAAAGATTTTAGCTGTCCTGCTGTCATTGGGCTTATCAGACACTGTGGGTAATCTGAGTTAATGTAACTTTAAGAACTGTTCATACCAATTCAAATACCTCTTTACATTGTGAGAAAACACAATAGATGTTCAGTAAAAATATTTATTACTTCTCAGTACTTTCATTTACTTCTACTAGTGAAAGAAGTATTTTCACGATAGATGAGGGGACAACCTGCGCCTCTTTGGACAGTCCTTCATGTAATGTCCAATCTTTCCACAGATCCTGCAGCATCTGTCATTGGGCGCCAACTCGCCGTCTGTCAGCACCTTTGAGTCAAAGAAGTAGTCCTGCAGCAGGACAGACAGTACATATTATAGACATATAACAGGTCTCATCAGGAAACAGATCAACCAGCATTTAAGTGGGTAACATTGAGTCATATTTTGTGTAAGTACCACTTCAGTGCCGAGGATGGGGTAGAAAGGAGTTCCAAACAACTTTCTCCCGTTAATAAAGGCCTTCATGATGAAGTTTGTCACTAGAAAAGGAAAAACAGGCAGGTCAAAAAATGGCGCATCCATTATCTATACCGCTTAGTCCTGAATAGGATCGCGGGGGGGCTGGAGCCTATCCCAACTGACATTGAGCGAGAGGAGATGAGCATTTTTACAGTTTAAAAACAAGCAACCAAATGCAAGAAAAATAACCTGAAATAATAACAAGGCTTGCATGAACCTTTAAAACTGGCTGATCCTCTGGACCAGTCAGTTAATGTGAATTAAACTGGCTTCTGCTATTTCCTGTCAGCCTTCATCACACAAAACAACATGGAAATGCACTCTAACGCTCAGGTCAGACTTCAGACTCAGTATCAACATATAAGATGTTCATTATGTGCTTGTTTGACAAAATGATGGCATGATTCATAAAAAAAAAAAAAAAACCTTTTTTTTTTTAACCAGAAATATCTAAATAATACCCTCAGCAAAGTAAAAAAAAAAATCTGAATGTGACGAAGTATGTTGGACAAAAGCACTTACTTTTGCGAGAAACTCCAGCACCAAGATTATGATTTAAATCAAAAGGATCTGAGGAAAACAAAGGATGAATGAGTAGGACAGATTATTTGGTGTTAATACTGAGAAGCAACTGAACACAGAGGGGAAAAGTGGAGCACCTTCAATAGCGATGCATTTGCTGGTCCACTGTTTCTCAAAGGTGGTTAGGCGTTTCCTTTGGCGGATGCTGATGACATGTTCTTTGAAGTCAAATTCTTCAGTGTAAAAACGCAGGAGCCCCAGCCACAGCTCTCCCACAGACTCTGTGTTTGGCTGCAGATCTGAGACATGCCGAGGCTGTGTGGACAGACAGAAGAAACGCACTTAGGACAAACTTTAATTCTGAAACAGCAGAAGATGGATTCAGGTAAAAGAAGATCGCAAGGAGTCTTAGATGGATTTTTGTGTATTATCTCCCTAACTTATTTAAACTCACCAGATCCTCAAGGTCATCAAAGAAGAAAGCGTTCCAGCCATCTACCATGCGCTGGGGAGCAATCTTCCCATCAAAGATCTAAACAGACATCATACAGAGGCATTTCATTATTGAAAGCTCAACGCCCATTTATGTTTCAGGCACTGAGTTTAAAGGGTGCGGTGATTAATCAGTGACTGGTACCTCCTGGAGAACAGGAATGACTGGTGGCTGCCTCTGCTGCAGGAAGTAAAGCACCATCAGGATGTAAGCATAAGATGAGAGGCTTCCTCTGGATGCATCTCCAATGTCACAGCGCTGTGAGCACAGAGGCAGGTGAATTACACAGTAAGAGATGACACAGTAACACTTCAGTGCATTCAACTGCTCCCCAGAAACATCCTGTCTGGTGTATGGTACATGAAATACCAGAACACCAAGAGTTTTTAATCAGATGACAAGAAGGTGGTGCCTTGTTCACTGAAGTCAGGTTTAACCTGTCTACAAAGGCTTTTCTTAAGTTCAGACTTAAAGCACTCAGGCTGGATTCACATCTCTAGAGGAGCGGGGATAAGGGCGGTAAGGAGCAGCTTATGGTGTCAGTTTGCTTTTCAGTCTAACTAGATGCTCTCAGCTGAAAAGACATTAGGTAGAGTAGCTTTAAGAAAGAATAGAAATTTACAAGCTGAGGTTTCCAAACACCTTCAGTTAAGGTTACTGACTCGGTTGACTTTCACATACCTTTGCAAAGACCTTCATTGTGTATCCCAGATATTGCACACGTGGATCCAGGGCTGCATATGTAGCAAGCATTCTGGTGTTGTGTTGGGCCTGCAGAGATGATCCATCCAAATTCATTTATACAGCACTTTTAACAAAGTGCAATGCTTAGACAAAGTCATGTCTAAGCATTTCATATACAGTGCAGGGAGGTCCTTTATGAGAGGCTCACTCACTCACCAGGGTGTTATAGAGGCTAATATCTCCCTCTAAGCCACTCTGTTTGTGTTCAAACTTCACAATAGGCACTTTAGCTGTTGTAATAGGCAAGATGTTCCTCAGACCTGTGACAGTGGAAAAATGAGAGATCACACTGGGTCAGGTTCAGCCTTGAACACCCAAGTATAACAATGTTCTACAGAAATAGTAAAATATTAAATCACCTGCATGCTTCTTTAGCACTTTCGCAAGGCCTTCAATGATCTCTTTGCAGTTCAGCTTCTGTTCAGATCAAAAGTTTAATGTTACAGTGAAATAACAGAAGGGTCACATCTCTAAACCTACATAGGAAATATGAGTTGCATCAAAGGGCAGGGTTGTTGTGTTCTTGTACTTGCTACATAGTGAGGAACAAAAAAATGTTTTTTTTCTTGCTACAGGATGAGGACATTTGTAGAAAGTGAGGACATTTTGACCGGTTCTCACTTTGTGAAGCACCTTTTCGAAGGTTGAGACTTGGTTTTAGGGTTCAGGTTAAACATAGGGTAAGGGCTATGGTTAGGCATTTAGTTCTGATGGTTAAGTGTTAGAGTAAGGGGTTAGAGAATGCATTATGTCAAAGAGTGTCCTTACAAAGATAGCAGTAAAGTGTGTTTAGTCCACTGACCTCTGTAGTCTCATGACCCTCCAGAGTCATGCAGATGTCAAGGTCACTGTCACGGAAGCCAAAACCATTTTTGGAGGAGCCAAACAAGCAGAGCTGAGCTTTATCTGAGGATTCAGACACAGGAAGAAATTATCATTTCTAGCCAAATGTCAGAATCGGGGTAAAAACTAGAAACAACATTCATCACTACACACTCGTGGTGTTAAGCAGCTATTAATGAAACCTAACAACTCCTACACATTTCACCATAAATGCCTTCCAGAGAGACATTATGTCTCTTGAAGAATAAAAAGCAACAGCAAAAATGTAGTAAAAGTGGAAGATTTGCTGTTAAGATTAGTCAAAATAAATTAAAAAAAGACTGCTAACATTTTAAAAAGGCCCGGTGCTGTCTTCACTGGACGATCATAGAAAAGGGCTCTTGACAATATCTGAGAATTTGCTGTTGTTGTTTATGCTGACTTCTCACCATTGTACTCCTTCCTAATAAACCTCTCCAGGCTAGCGAGGATCTGCTCCCTCTTCTGCTGCTCAGCATGTGTTGGTGACAATTCATCTAAAAACAGTCAAACACAAATTCTGTCACACAGAGTTACAGTGACTAACTGATCAAAATTAAATTCAACTATCATAAATAATAGGTTTTTATGTTTAATTAATCATTTAAGTAATTTCTCCAGCAAAAATATCAAAAGTGTGAAGGCTCAGCGATGTCAGAGTTTGCCTGTTTTGTTGCTTTTTCTTGGTCTCAGTTATATTAAAAAGAGTAAGATGGGGTTTGGAATGTCAGTCAGACACATCGGTCAGGATATTGTACCATATTCTGATGTTTAATTGATCAAAGAAAAATTTAATTTAGGAAATAAACAGCAGATTGGTAATAAATTAATCATTAGTTGCAGCCCCACAATCGCACAATATTAAAGGTTCAAAGTAAACACCAAATAAAATGCCTATGTTTTTGGTTTTTGACTGCTCACTACTTGTGATATGCAAAAAGAGATTTGATCGTTTTCAACAAGATGAACGTTATATTCAATGTCATAGTCAACATATTCAATGTGAAGAGCAGATAGGTTTACTCTGATTCTTCCCATAAAGAGCATAACTTAGAACAGAAGGTTTTAGTGCAACTGTTGTCCAGGAGAGACTACAGGGAAAGAAAATTCAGTACTGCACTCTCGACTACATACAGTAGCACAGTTTGCAGAGCCCATCGAGAATATCTCTGAAATGATCAGTCATAGGAGGCAGAGGCTTCAGCTCAATCTTCTTAAAGTCTTCAGGACACTCGTCCTTCAGGTGACCATCTCGTTTGCAGATGCTGCACACAACAGTCGGAGGCTGGAAGACAAAAAGGACCATATATTACATGACCAATTAGACATGGTTGCCTCTAGCAACACAAGGTAAGTGCAAAATAATGGCACAAGCTGTAACAAAACATTTCTGTGGGGAAATATACAGCGTTTGCATAACACTCCATGTTGAAAGTAAGATTTCTCTAGAGTTGCATGAGGCTCTAACAACTGAAGACAATACATCATGACAATCTGGCACTCAAAAACTGGACTCTGTCTTTATGTGTAAATAAACCAGTGGAGACTTCCTAAATTTAAACATCTCACTGAAGTGACATAAACCCATCAATGACAGCTGAGGTGATGCTTCTCATTACCAAGGCTATAAAAGTGGAAAACCTTGAAAGAGGTGATTTCTTTTTTTATTTATTTAGCACACAGGTTCAGAGGTTACTGTATATAAAATAGAATAGGATGTAGTATTTCTGGGTGGCTCTGCTACTGGCTGTATGAAGAAACATGCACACAAAGGGTGAATGGTCTGCTTCAAAATTACCTTCCCACCAGTGAAAATCATCTTATCGAACACATAGTGCAGATCGCCTGATACAACAGGCCCATCTTTCTCTGGCACGATGTTGCCCTCCTCATCCTCCTCCTCCATGTCACTGTCCAGCAGGCCGTTGGGGGAGAAGGACACGTTGTTTCCCTCACTGAGAACCATGTCTATGAGCCTGGTGTCTAAAGTCTTCTTATCCTTCTTTCTGGACAGGTCTGAAGCATCTTCGTCGTCGCTCTCAGGCTTCTCATCCTCCTTGGACCCCTGGTTCCCCCTCTGGGCACTCTGACTTGGTTCACCTTTTCTTTCGTCTTCTTCTTCCTTGTTCACAAATGTAGCCTCCTTCTTCTCAGTCCCTCCCAATTTTGTGCCTAGCTTGCCTGCTTTCTTGTTTCTCTGATGCCCATCCATACCCCGTCTCTGCAGGCAGGCAAAGTATTTGTAAGCTGTACGGAAGCGCTCCTGGATGTACTCAAACACCATTTGGCTGTTCAAGCTTCGTGCAACATTCCTCTTCAAGGCAAAAGGATCTAAAAAAAGATGAAAAAAGACAGTGAATTTCTGATATCTTTCCAGAGCTGATGAGTTTTCCAACACAGTGGTCTCTTGCCTTCAATAGCAAGTCTGCGACGAGGCCAGTTCTTCACTTCCCTAGAGAGGAGCTCCTTTAAGCGGATGCTGATGATGTATTCTTCAAGACCAAACTCCAGTGTGTAGAAACGTAAAAGCTCCAGCCACAGCTGACCCAGCGACACATCTTTACACTGGTCCAAGGTCAGGGGCGTCTTTATAGGAAAGCAACAGAGAAAAAAGTAGTAGCAGAAATCAGGTTGACCATGGAAAAATATCAGCACTGCCCAATGTTATGATGTGAAATATGAATGCAATTGCATGTGTGTGTAATGTGACTCACCATCCCCTCTGAATAACGAGTGTCATCACGTTTGTTCTGCTCTGGTTTGGGTCTGCTTTCTCCTCTGGCCTCATTTCGGTTCTCCCCTCTTCCCTCTGCAGAACTCAAAGGTCTGTGCTCCCATCGGACAAACATGTCCAACATGATTCCGGTTAGGTGATACTCATCCACGTGTTTCACATCAAAGCCTTCAATCTGAAAGAGGAAAATGTGTTGACATAACAGAGAGGAAGGTGAGGAGTAAGCACAAAAAGAAATCTTCAGATATTTTGACTCATATTCTGCATTCCAGTGGCCATTTAGAGGCATCCATCCATTATGAATAACACTTCCTGGGTGAGAGAAAGGGTCTACCCTGGACAGTCTATCACAGGGCTGACATGTAGACAAACAACCATGTACACTCACACTCACTCCTATGGGCAATTTAGAGTTGCCAGTCGACCTAAACTGCTGCATGTCTTTGGACTTTGGGAGGAAGCCGGAGCACGCGGAGAAAACCCACGCAGGCACATGCAGACTCCACATAGAAAGGCCCCGGGTCAGCCTGGGTTTTATTTACACTGTTCCTATTCTTCAAACTGTACTCATATGGTAACTCACATCTATCATCATCTTTCCACCTTGCTGTCTTATATAAAAGGCACAGTAGCAGCGTGGGAGAGTTGATGTTGACCCTCCAAAATGCTGCAACGAGAGAGAGTATTTTTTGCCAAGACAAGTTCACCCCACCTTCTGTATAAATGGGATGAGATGGAATGGGGGGTTGCAGGTCCATGTGAATGAGAGAACAAGCTAGAGAGTGAATTAGGACAGACAGCAGCGTCAGCTAGAACAAAGTAAACCAGAGAATTTAAACTTTATTTTGTGATTGTTTCACTTTGGTTTCATTCTAAAGCATGAATAAACACAGCCATGCCTCTACACAACCGTGTGCGAAGGATTTTGGTGAATGTCTGGGGTGAGGTGCACCTTGTGTGCATGCAGCCCTGTCCTCAGACTCACAGACCTGAAACTGGGTGCACGTACAGCAGTCTACTGTAATTCCCAATTTCCATTTGTAAATGTATCAAACAAAATCAGAGAACAACCCATTTCTTATTTTTCAAATTGCCCGCGAAGCGTACAGACAGTCGGATGTCACAAGAAGCACCACATGTTCGATGTAAAATGAGGACAAATGTAAAGTAAAATGAAACTTTTTTAAGTTCAGTGTAAACAGGTTTAAATAAAAAAAGCCATCCTGACGGAGGATCAAAGCTCTGGCAGTTTGCTGCAATCTCTGTGTGAAAGGGCCATTGTGAGCTCCTCATTGCACAAACAACCTGAAGGTCTGAAGAAAAGAATGTTGACATCAACGAAGAAAAATAGAAAAAAAAAATCTTCCCAACTACACTTATCTAAACATTGGAGAGGAGTTTTTCCTGCTACACAATAAAATACAGCTTTTACTTCATCTGAAAACATCTGACAGTGCTGCCAGAAATGATACATGCAATCTTGGTTAAATGGGTCATTTTATACCTTTCTGTAACTATGAATATAAATTTCACATCTTGAAGAAATGAATGATTTGCAGCAGGATCAAATCAGGTCCCTCATTGTTATGCAAATGTATGCAGCATTGTGCTAAAAAAATCTAACACCATCTCAACCACAGTAGATGGAGGGTTTGTCAGCCATGTATTTTTCTTGAGTTAATGTACCTGCTCAAAATAAGACAGACCCACTTTTACATCTTGTGTCCAGACCTTGTTTCCCAACACAGACCTGACAGGTGGGAGTCTTCTTCACAGAACATGATACAAGGAATGTGGGTCATCCTGTGCAATTCAATGGGCAATTTCATTTTCTATTTGTCCAGTTTTACATCAAAACAGAACCCTGCTATTTAAAGAAAGAGTTCAGTGTCCGTTACAGCAAGTGCTAGGTAATGCACAATACGCAGCGTGGAATGGAACTGACATTTAAAAATGTTCACACATTTTATCAAATCATTCCTCATTCACAGGGAAATGAAACAAATTATAAAAACAAATAAATGAGCAAATCTTTAGTTGTAGGACAGATGAGTGCAGTTTAAGTATTTCTCTGCAGGGAAACAGATTTTACAGCCTCCTGACAAAGCAAACAGATTGTATGCGCAGTCATTTCAATGATAACACAGGGACACACCTCCAATGACAGTGGAACAGACTAAGCCCTCAATGATAACACAGGGACACACCTCCAGTGTGATAAACACAACGCTTTACCTACCCAGTGGCCCAGGTAGACGGGGAGGATGGGCTCTTTCCTCTGCTGCAGAAAGAAAATGACCATGAGGGCAAAGGAGTACGAGGGGATGCCACCTTCAGCCTGGCAGTCAATGTGACACAGCTGCAGAGAGAATCACACAAGGAACATCCAGTTTTACTCTTAATCCATTCTGAAATTAATTTGCCCAATTATTAAATCGTTACTCATTATATTCTAAACATTAAGTACATTACACTGTATGCCTGATTTTGGTTTCTTGCCATTTTGATGTATTGGTGTTTTAGCTAGTCTATGCAAAAGCAGAGGTGCTTTATTTGAAAAATGTATCCTGGGTAAAAAAGAAAATGTCTGTAAAAATGTCCTATCTTTAAAATCCATTGTTTCCAGTTCCAGTACACTAGTTTTAGCTAGTGGCACTGGAATGTGTGCGTCATAAAGTAAACTTACAAATTAGGAAAACATCAAATCAAACAGGATTTTTAAGACCTCAACTTATACTTCACACTGAACACACTGCAACCCATTTATCATTTCTTCTTTCATCTGAGGAGTTGTGCCAGCTGCAGCCTTACCCTTGCCCAGTAGCGGAAGGCCAGCACTAGGGGAACCAATCTGGGCTCCAGTTTAGCCAGGGCTGCCAGATGATTGGTGGTAAGACAAGCAACGTCATTACCTGCACTCACTTTGCACATGAGGCCGCTGCACACAAAACACAGGTGAGGGAAGACAACGGTGAAAACAAAAGCTTTAAAAAGATCAAAATCCCGAATTGAACAGAACCACAATCAAAATGTTTGGTTCACTGAGAGATATCATAGACGATAAGTAAAAAAATAAATAAAATAAAAACCACACATGTAAAAAAAAATAAAAAAATAAAAACCACATTCACAGTACATACGGTAATGATCATCGATAAATAAGTAGAGTACATGAATATAAAAACAGAAGATGGAAACCACCGTATCTATGTATTTACACCAACACTCACTTGCTCACATCCCGACAGAACACAGCAGGTACTTTGGCGTGAAAATCAGACTCAACCTCAGAAAACTCAGCTAGAAAACAAAGACAACTCAATAAACAACCCTGCAGAATGCTGAAACAGTGCACGTCTTGAAAATGTTCTGCTAAGTTGACTTTGGAAATCCCGCCTGACATATGAACCAGACAGAGCTGGGAATTCCAATCAGAATATTATGTTTATGCAACCTTATAACAGTTAATCGAGGCTCAACTCAAGAAAAACTGAAAATGCAGAAAACAAAACTTACAGCTGTTCTTGAGAATTTCTAGCACTTGAATCAAGACCTCTGGTTGCGTCATCTGAAGAGGCGAAAGTGATCGAAGAAAATGAGCCCATCAAATATAAGACCAAATGTCACAGCTGATGTACGTTTTATGTTTCTAGAGAAAATGTATCACAGACTTACCGAGGAAGGGTAGGTGACATCAATGTTAATATCGCTCGTCTTGAAGGCAAATCGGGTAAGACAGGATCCGTACAGACGGAGAGAGCAGGCTGGAAAACCAAAGAAAAGATATTAGGAAAAGATACACAGCAAAGAATACACCATCGGTCAAAGGTTAGATCGCCTCCGTGTTCCCAGGTGTTATCAGTGTAACCCAGCAGGTGAACACACCTGTGTCGTTCTTTCTACAGCTGAAATCAGACACAGCTGGGACAGACAGCTCTGCCGCAGATGTTCCCACAGATGTGTTGCACCTGTAGGCTGTTTCACTTTCAGTCTGGACCCTGTGCTGCTCTTCCATCACTGTTCTTTCGTCCTCCACAGCCTGGAGGTGTCTGTGGTTCTCTCTCCTGCTACAGGATGGAACCATGAAAAGCTCCCTGTGTTCACTGCCTTTTTCCAAATGATGCATCAGAGGGTGTAGTACCAATCTGCTCCAACTCTGCCTTTGTACACAGAGTTTGTTGCTGTCAGTCATCAACAACAGTTGGGACCTGTAGGAACTGTGTATCCCTGCAAAAGGCCTGGTGTATAGTACATTTACATTCAGTTTTTGCTTGTGGTGACAATTTTTTTTTTACCTCTGGCAACATATCTCATATCAGATATGTTCAGCAAAAAATAGCTAAAAATATATCGATATTGGCAAGGGTTAGACATATGCTGGACGTGAAAGCACTTCGCATTTTGTATTCTGCATTGATATTACCATATTTGGAGTATGGCGTTGAAAACTGGGGAAACACTTACAAAAGTTCACTTCAACCATTGTACATATTACAAAAAAGAGCGATAAGAATTGTGCACAAGATGGGGTATAGGGATCACACCAATGGAGCTTTCATACAGTCTAAATTGTTAAAATTCTTTGATTTAGTGGAATATAAGACCGCGGTGTTTATGTATAAAGCTAGGAACGACTTA